TCCTCCTCATCCACATCATCCAATGTCACTGCGCTGTTGCCAGGATACAAAGGAGGAAGATCTCCGGAAACAATTCAAAGGCCAGGAACTACCATGAAACCTGAGGGATGGGCTTATGTGGGATGTTGTGGGTAATGTGCATGTGGGTATAGCAACCCCAAAAAAGAATCAATTACTTTACTTCGAGTTTTCCTCACCATGACATCTATACGTTTTGTTACTGGCAAATCTTCTGGCATTCTATCTGACATTCTATCTGGCATTTTATCTGGCATATCTTCTGGCATTCTATCTGGCATATCTGTTGGCATTCTACCTGGCATATCTTCTGCAATACGATCTGGCATATTTTCTGGCATATCTTCTGACATTCTATCTGGCATTCTATCTGGCAAATCTTCTGGCATTCTATCTGACATTCTATCTGGCATACCTTCTGGCATTCTATCTGGCATATCTTCTGGCATTCTATCTGGCAAACATTCTGGCACCTTATCTGGCATATCTTCTGGCATTCTTTCTGACATTCTATCTGGCGTTCTATCTGGCATATCTTCTGTATCTGGCCGTTGAGGTCCAGCGGTGCTCACTGAGCTCGGAGGGTCCCAGGTTGAGATCCAGCGGTGCTCGGGCGGTCCCAGGTTGAGGTCCTGAGCTCGGAAAGTCCCAGGTTGAGGTCCAGCGGTGCCCAGTGCGCTCAGACCCTTGCAGTTGAGGTCCAGCAGTGCCCACTGCGTGCGGAAGTTGGCGAAGAGCTTGGCGAAGAGTTGGCAAGCGGAAGTGAACATGGGAGTGGATGCAAAAGGTGGTGGAGGAGAAGCTGGAGGAGAGGGAGGAGGAGGAGAAGAACAACTCTGATAAAATCTAACAACCCTCACCTGGCAGGTGGGGAAAAAGAGAGGTGAATCATGAAGTATGAAGGGTTGGAGTACCCAACTTTGACCAGTACCCATGTGAAAAACTTAAAGGCATCCCACACAGCGTGGCACATGCTAAGATTGGCTCTTCGGACTGTGATGGAACAGACGCCCAAATGGATGCAGAAGTACCCAGAAAACAACGTCTAACGGGCACGGTGCCGGTGCCCTTCCTGGCATTAGATGACTTGGCCTCCACGATGGACCATGCACTTATCCTTTTTTTTCTCACCTAGGATTTGCTGAAGACTATGTTTTATATTCCTGCTGGTTCATACTTCTCTGTTCCATTTTGTGGGGACCTTGAAAACGTAAATCCAAGCAATTAATTTTGGGTGGAGCTTTCACATAGAGCTAATTTTGCTTTGGGCAATGGCTGGGTAGGTCCCAGGTCAATGTGCGAATTTTGTTTCTATGAGTTGGTGAATAATATTATATTTGTGCATCTGAAAATTCAGTTGCTTGAGGATGTCTGCGATTACTTTTGCAATGGTCAAGAGTTGGACTTTATACCGATGCTGGGGATGGTCATTAGTCCATGAGTAGAGATCGAGATATGCATCACAAGGATTCCATTATGGGATGCATGACCACAAGCTATATACTGTACAATGTTTTGACATGCTCCAAAGTGTTTTCTCTCTGATTTTGCCATGTCTCGTCCAGGCTTTGGTAAAATCACCGACGTCTCTGTGAAAACATTCGAGTTCCTTGGCTGAGGCCGTTTCTTGAGAATCTGGGAATGGGGCCACTGGGAACCAGGGAGTTAGGAGTAGGAGAAGCAACCAGCCAACGTGAAATTGTTTGAGGCTTAGATGCCACCAATCAAAGCATTTAAAACTTTGATTCTTCGTATGTCAGCTTTATTTGGCATCATCTAGCCATAGACAGCCAATGTCATTCCACAAGTTCAGACCACTTGAAATTGGAAGGAAGCGAGCCCTTAAGGCCAGGAGATAGCCTATGTCATGCCAAGTTTGGGGGTTTGCCGGACGGTGAATCATCACCATGGATGTCCGGACTTTTTGGCTGTTTTGTTTCAAGATGGCGAGATGCCCCCAAATTATGGGCGCATATTGGTAGAATGAGGATGAGCCAGGATAAACTATAGAAATTTGGTGTTCCGATTTTTGAGACCCCCATACGGTTGCAAAGCTTGCTCAACTTGAGGCCTTCAAAACTGTTGGATGATCCCAGTGTGTTAATGGGATGCGGAGTCCCCCGCTTTGGAGATATAATGGATGATGCTGTGGTCAATAGAGAGAATATGTGCCGACCATCCACATGCCGTATCTGTACAAGATTAAGGACGATTCATGTGCCTCATATCCTACTGTGATCACTGAGTTTTGGGCTTGTTTATTTATGGAGTACACCAAAAACCCATGATTACGAACCTCATGTTTTGGTTTTCAGACAAACTCGTATTATATTCTGGTGAAGGGCCCTAGTTTTGACGGTTGAAGCCAGTTGAAGGCTTATAACTCGGCTGGTAAATGATTGATGGTTAAAGTGTGTTAAAGTGCCCCACCTATCATATTGCAATAGATTGGTTTTACAATATCATATGAACTACCCTCTGGTAATCAAGCATAGCTTGCTGGAAAACCCGTCATTTAGTTCAATGAATTTTCTATCTACCGATGCCCGTGTAAGTAGTGGGCGTCCAAGCCAGACATGTTTGATTACGGCAGGATATTCGACTCAATGCGAATCTCCAAGGACCGGCGAAGGGAGAGGATATGCTTTCATCACCTTCAAAAAGCTCGAGGAGGCAAGAAAATTCGTGGGATATCGACCACTTGTAGTGGTTGTCGCTTGGCAAGATGGGGAATATTTAACGGAAGAAAATAGGGTTCTATCCCATCTTATGTTTTCCTTTGCCGTGATTACATCCATGAATACCCCCAACCACATCCCCAAGTAGGTGTTCCTCAGCTTTTGCAGTCAACTGTCACAGTTCTGTGATTATTGTCCTCTTTTGTTTGGCATCCTTTTGCCGTTTGTGGTATTATATCAAATCACACCACATCTCCATGTTTGAAGATTTCGTCCCATGCTTTGCTGGTCAACTTCCCACGTCCCCTTGGTTAAACAACAAAAAGCTACCCAGTATGCATTCCCTCGCCGCAACTGTTGCAACTGCCAGGCGCAAAAAGCCATTGAGGCAGATGGGGACCGATGGAATCGGGATATGCAGTGTCCAGTTTTTTGGCCACAGATAGGTGGGAGATATTCCAAATGTGTTCATATGTTTGAATAGTATGACATATTTGTATTGGAAGCAATATGTCCAATGAGAATGGATAGTGTATGTGCAACATAAAGTGAGGTAAAAACATGTCCAACGGAGATAGATTGAACAGCGAATGGGGGGTTGCAACCAGCAAGGCTGGAGAAGCAACGAATACAGGTCGCTTCACCAGAATAGTGGAAACATCATTCACATAGACTATAACAGTTGTTTCGTCTGAAAAACAGCAATTAAAAGCCAAACGTCCACTAGTTGTTCCTCATTTTCGCAGTTAAAAACTGCCATTGCCATAGATGGCTTGTGAATCCCGCATTGACAGTCGTCCAAGTGGCACAAAGGCCCGGAAAAACATCTTCTACTGTACTTTACTATATTAGTACAAGTACCGATACGAATACTGTACTATACTATACAGTTACTATATGTTACTATACCATACGTTTCTTTGCCAAACTATATTTTACCATACTAAAGCTAAAGCTGATACTAATACTAATACAAAGACCGGCACTAAGAGTGATACTAATTTTAATACCAATGCTAGTTACGAATATACTACAGTAATACTTTTTCTAATAAGACTAAACACTAATTCTGCTCTGCCTACGGTAGTGCTATATAATAGGCTCAGGCAGAGCCGTTCGCCCAGACTCTACCTTGACGCATATTGAGTGTTCAAGACCTTCAATAGCAAATCAACCCCTCCACCCCCGGTAAACTATTACACTTATTAAAGGTCATCAAGTAGGGGTCAAACCCCCCACCACCGTTAATCTATTACACTGGTTGAAGATTCAATAAGGGGTCAAATCCCCCATCCCCGCTAACCTATTACATTGGTTGAAGATTTTCAAGAAGGGGTCCAGTCGCCCACCCCCATAAGCGTGTCATGCCATTATTCTTTTCTCAGGAAAGAGGTTTCCTGAAAAAGATGTTGGAAATTATGTTTTCATGGCCCTTTACAGGACTTTCATGTGACAAAGCCGTCGTCGATGAACCGCCATAGCATGTCCAGACATGTGGGGAAAGTGATGTTGTACGGGAAATGCAATGGTTTTAGCCATTCCTCAAGACATGACCCATTTCCATGCTAGAGTATACTTTAGTATACTAGGCTGTACTTTACTATACTGTGCATTTTTAGGCCTGTAAAGATGATATACATATATACAAACATGCATGGTTAGCCATGTATGCTAGCCCCGCTGAAGCTATGGCCATGTCCTGTGCTGCCTGGACTTCATTGGTTTCTGAAGTACGGCCGCGGGCAACGAGCAAGTGTTTATCCGACAAAGGGCGCGCAAAAGAATTTCCATTGGGTATGTCACTGACACATACACACACATATATATATACATATAATTTTGTATGTTTACATAAATAAAGCGGCGAACAAATCATGTGGCTTTCCACGTTTTCTAAGGAACCTAATATTGGCTAAGTTGCCAAACTAGGGCCCAACATAGGCCCAACATATGCCCAATATAGGCCCAACCTATGCCCAACATAGGCTCAACATGGGCCCAACATGGCTCAACATAGGCCCAACATGGGGCCAACATGGCCCAACATAGGCCCAACATGCCTCGCCATAGGGCCAATATAGGCCCAAACATAGGCACAACATGGCCCAAGCTGGGCTCAACACGGGCCAACATGGAGCCAACATGGGCCCAACATACCCCCAACATAGAACATATACATACATACATACATACATACATACATATATATATATTGAATTATTGGAACTTCAGAGCAAACACTCCAGTGCGGCGTTTGTAGTCACGAAGCGAAGACAATACCAGCAGAGAACGTTTGCCCAGGGAATGCACGAGAAGCCTCAGCCCGAGGGCAAGCCGCTGTTGGTGACCATGGCGGTGCATCAACCCGGAGAAGGGAAAGGAAAAGGAAAAGATGGAGGCTGGGGAGCTGCTGAAGTTGGAGATGGTGGGATGACATGTAATATGGTTTTCATCCGAGCATTGATCCCTAAAACAAAATACTCGTAAGCCCACAGAATATCCCCAACAGCCAGAAACAAAAACAGTTGCCAAACACGCAATGAGTGAAGTATGTTTATTGCCCCGCCCTTCTTACTCTAGAGTCTAGAGGTTGGGCGTGCAAGGTGCAATCACAGCACAAACACTTTATGAAAAGACGATTTCCCAAAGAACTGCTGTCCGCCTCACTCTTCAACTCATCTACCTAACATACATCATCCACATCTCTTATGTCCTTTTACATCACCTCCATCTTCTATACCATATTCTACACCATCTTCTCTAGATCTACATCTACATCTACATCATCATCATCATCATCATCATCGTCTATCTCACCTACACCATCTACATCACCTACACAATCTTTTTCCATCAACCTCATCTACATGACATACATCATCTGCAACGCACACATGACCTACATCATCATCTATATCACTGCATCCTCTACATCACCTACATCTTCAAACCTATCGAACCTTACATCACTTGCAACATCATCCTCATCATCTACAACATAGACAACATCACCTACATCAGCTACAGGTGATCAATTTCTAGGGAACTCCTGCAAATCTTGAAAAATGTCATTTACACAGGAGTTGACTTGCAGGTGATCCACTTCTACTTGAACTCCTACAAGACTCCTGCCTGCAAGGTCATTTGCGCAGAAATTGTTACACAGGAGTTGCTACACAGGAGTTCGGCTGACTTCCAGGTGATCAAATTGTATCTGAACTCCTGCAAAATCAGACTTCTCCAGTTCTTCTATCTCTCTCAGGCGGCAAGGACAGCCAGGCGGTGGCTTACGAAACGTTACCCTCTGCGGCGTGTTGGACACCCAAACGTGTGGCGAAATGCGGGTCTTGTTTGTCCTTGGGCAACCCTCTGCGGAGATCATGCATGTCGGATGGGCAAGCATGTGGTGTGGTGAAATGCGAAACTTCTTTGCCCGCAGCAACCGTCTGCGGAGATCGTGCGTTTCGAACGCCCAAGCATGTGGTGGAATGTGAATTTCTTTTGGGCACGGGCAGCCTTCTGCAGAGATCGCGCAGCCCCTTCGCACGAAATGACGGTCAACCGTCAAAAACTGGTGTAAAATTGTTATTTTGAAAGTTCAGATGCAAGCGTGGCATGAAAGTCAAACGGCAAATGTGGGAAAACTGATTTTTTTTTAACGTCAGATGCAAACGTTCAAGAATTGGTGTAAAATTGCGACTTTATCCATTTTGAAACGTCAGGCACAACCGTTTCACGCGAAATAAAACTTGTGTAAAATTGCGATTTTACAAGGTCAGGCGCAACCCTTTCACGTAAAATGATTGTCCAACGTCAAAAATTGCGGTTTTCCAACGCCGGATGCAACCCTTTCGCACGATATGATGGCCGAACGTCAAAAACCTACGTAAAATTGCAATTTTTTGCAGTGTGTAAGAGCTGCTCTGTGGAATCGGTTTTTCTGTGGGAAAGCGTCTGTGTGTAAAGGCTTCTCTGTGTAAAAGCTTCTGTGCGTAAAAGCCTCCGTGCGTACAAGCTTCTGTGTGTAAAGGCGTCTGTGTGTAAAAGCTCCTGTGCTCAAAAGCTTCTCTGTGGAAAAGCTTGTGTGTGTAAAAGCTTCTGTTTGTATAAGATTCTCTGTGTCAAGGCTTCTGTGATTCTCTGAAAAACCATCTGTGTCTAAAAGCTTCTGTGTGTATGGGCGTGGATATGTCAAAGAGTTTCCGGGAAAAATGCTTCTGTGTGGAAAGGCATCTGTGTTCAAAAGCTTCTGTGTGTAGAAGCATCTGCCGCATCTGTGTGAAGAACTTTTGTGTAAATGCCTCTATGTGTAAAGACCTGTCTGTGTAAAAGCTTGGGCATTTGCGTGTTTAAAGTTTCTGCGCGTATAAGATTGTAAAAGCTGCTCTGTGCAAAGGCCTCTCTCTGTGTAAAAGCTTCGGTGTGTAAAAGCTGCTCTGTGTAAACCCTGCTCTGTGAACAAGCTTCTATGCGTAAAAGCGTCTGTGTGTAAAAGCTCTGTGTGTAAAGGCATGCGTGTAAAGCTTTTGTGTGTGTAAATGCTTCTGTGTATCAAAGATGCTGTGTAGAGGCTTCTGTGTGTAAAAGCTTGTCTGTGTAAAGCTTATGTGTAAAAACTTCTTTGCGTAAAAGCCTGGGGGCGTCTGTGTGCAAAAGCTGCTCTGTGTAAAGGCTTCTCTGCGTCAAACCTTCGGTCTGCAAGCTCTGTGAACAAGCTTCTATGCGTACAAGCGTCTGTGTGTAAAATCTCTGTGTGTATGTAAAGCTTTTGTGCGTGTAAATGCTTCTGTGTATACAAGATGCTCTGTGTAGACGCTTCTCTGTGTAAAAGCTTCTCTGTGCAAAGCTTCCGTGTGAAAACCTCTGTGCGTAAAAGCTTCTCTGTGTAAAGGCCTCTCTGCGTCAAAGCTTCGGTGTGTAAAAGCTGCTCCGCGTAAACGCTGCTCCGTGAAAACAAATGTAAAAGCTGGTCCGCGCAAAGGCTTCTCTGTGTGAAAGCTGCTGTATGTAAAAACCGTTTGTGCTCAAAGTTCCTTCCCGCAAACGCTTGTCTGTGAAAAAGCTTCTCTGTGCAAAATCTTCTCTGTGTAAAAGCTTCTGCGTGTAAAAGCTGCTCTGTTTAAAGGCTTCTCTGAGTAAAGCTTCTGCGTGTAAAAGCTTTTGTTTGTAAAGGCATCTCTGTGCAAAAGCTTCTGTGTAAAAGCTTTCTGGTGAAAAGGCTGTAAAAGTTTCTGTGTCTAAAAGCTTCTTTTTGTAAGGCGTGTGTGTGCAAAAGCTCATGTGTGTAAAAGCTTGGGCATCTGCCCGTTAAGATTCCTGTGTGTAAAAACTTCTTTGTGAAAAAACATCTGTGTGTAAAGCTGCTCTGTGTAAAGGCTTCATGTGGTAAGGCTTCTTTAGGAAAAGGTTTTCTGTGTAAAAGCTTCTGTATGTAAAAGCGTCTGTGTGCAAGAGTGTCTGTGTAAAAGCTGCTCTGTGTAAATCCCTCTCTGTGTAAAGGCTTCTGTGTGTATATAAAATCTTCTCTGTGTAATTTTTTCGCTGTGTAAAAACAACATGTCTTTTGATTCTGGCTGTCACTCAGGTGCCAGCCCTGGAGCAAACCCTCTGCGGGGACAAAAAAAGGCATGAAATCGTGGATATATGACATTTGGCTCGTGTCAGCTATCATTCATCATCATCTCCATCGCCATTCATCCTCGTCATCGCCATCGCCATCATCATTGTCGTCATCATCATCATCACCATCATCATTTTTCTTGTGTATTATCTTCTCGTCTCCTCCCTCCTGCTTTCTTTCATGCCACGCTGTCGTCCAGTGTTTTTATTCATGTGCGAGTGCCGTATCATTTTTTGAAGCAAAACTAGTTCTTCAATCTCTCCGTTCCGTTATTAGAACAATTCTTCAAACTTTGCAGTATTCTGTTGTTCAATGTTCTTGGAACCTTGCCTGGGCAACTCTTCTTGGACACGTTGCTTGACACTTGTTTATCGGAACCTTGCTTGGGAACATGTTCCTGGGAGCCTATTCTTAGGAACCCTCTCTCTTGGGAACCTGTTCTTGGAAGCTTTGCCTGCTTGCTTCAAACCTGTTCATTGGGACCTTGCTCGGGAACCTGTTTGTGGTAACTTTGCTTGGGAACCTTGTTTAGGAACCTGTCCTTCGGAACCTTGCTCGGGATTCTGTTCTTGCTTCCAACCTTGCTTGCAGATGTTCTTCGAAATTTCGCTTTGCAAGTTGTTCTTGGAAAGCTGTTCCTGGGAACATGAGCAACCTGAAACCATGCTTGGGAACGTGTTCGTGGGAACCGTGCTGGCAACCTACTGCTCGGAACCATCCTAGAGAATTTGTTCTTGGAACCCGGACCTGTTCTTGGGAACCTGTTCTTCGAACCCTTGCTTGGGAACCTGTCCCTTGCTTGTGAACTTGATCTTGCGAGCCTTGCTTGGGAACCTGGTCTTGCGAACCTTGCTTGGAAACCTGTTCCCAGGAATCTTGCCTGGAACCCCCTTGCTTGCGAACCTATTCTTGGAAACCTTTTTTGCAACCTTTTCTTGGAAACCTGTTCCTGGGAACCTTGCTTGGGAACCTGTTCCTGGGAACCTTGCGTGGCAACTGTTTCTGGAACCCTTGCTTGGGAACCTTGCCTGGGAAGCGTTCTTGGGAACCTGGCTTGGGAATCATCCCTGGTAACCTTGCTTGCGAACCTGTTCCTGGAAAATTTGATTGAAAATCTTGTTCTTGGGGTGGCTGAAGACCCCAAACGTACGCGTTGTTGGGGAAAAACGTTCCCAAGCAAGTTCCCAGGAAGAGGCTCCCAAGCAGGTATCCAGGAAGAGGTTCCCAAGCAAGGTTAAATTCTTAGGTTCCAAGCAAGGCTCGCAGGAAGGTTCTCAAGCAAGGAAGAGCTGGTTCCAAAGAAAAAAATCCAGGAGCAACTGGGAAACCCTTGCCTGCGAACCTCTTCCTGGGAACCTTGCTTGAGAACCTCTTCCTAGCAACCTTGCTTGAGAAGCTGTTCCTGGGAACCTTGCTTGGGAACCTTTTCCTGGAAACATTGCCTGGGAAGTTTTTCCGGGAACCTTACTTGTGAACCTGTTCTTGGGAAACGTGTGTTTGGGAACCTAACCTCTTCCTGAAAACATTGCTTGGGAACCAGCTTGCTGGGAACCTTGCTTGGACACCTCTTCCTCGAAACCTTTTCCTGGAAACACTTGCTTGAAAACCTGTTCTGGGAACTTTGTTTTGCTTGGGAAAAACATGTTCCTGGAAATCTTGCCTGGGAAACGGTTCCTGGAAACCTTGAAAACGGTTCCTGAAATCCGTGCTTGCAAAACCTTTTTTTGGGAACCTTGCTTGGGAACCTGTTCCTGGAAACCTCTTCCTGGGAACCCTTGCTTGGGAACCTCTTCCTGAGAACATCTTCCTGGGAACCCTTGCTTGGGAACCTCTTGCTGGGAACCCTTGCCTGGGAACCCTTGCTTGGGAACCTGGGAACCTTGCCTGGAACCTCTTGGGAACCTTGCCTGGGAACCTCTTCCTGAAAACCTTCCTCTTGGTAACCTCTTCCTGGGAACCTTGCTTGGGAACCTCTTGCTGGGAACCCTTGCTTGGGAATCTGTTCCTGGGAACCTTGCTTGGAAACCTTGCTGGGAACCTCTTCCTGGGAACATTGCTTGGGAACCTTGCTTGGGAACTTGTCCCTGGGATTGGGAACCTCTTGCGGGAACCCTTGCTTGGGAACCTGTTCCTGGGAACCTCTTGGGAACCTTGCTTGGGAACCTCTTCCTGGGAACCTTGCTTGGGAACCTCTTCCTGGGAACCCGGTTCCCAACCTCTGCCGTGGGGATTTGGCTGCTCCGAGGGATTGTCTTCGGAAAGGAGACCCTTCCCCGGAACCCGGTTCCCAACCTTGCGCCAAACGGATTTAACTGCTCCGACCTGCTCCGGAACCTTTACTATGGCTGAAGACCCCAAGCTTACGCTGTTGGGGAACAAGGAAAGCATGATGAAACAGTTGTTCGGGTTGATACTGTACTGGTTTTGAGGAGGTTGAGGGCAAAATGTTCAGGACATCATATCATATCACATCATATCATATCATATCATACCCCAGCCACAAAAATAAGTTTAAAACCTATGGTTTCCGGGATGTTTCCCCTGAAACCAAGACGCCGCATATAGGATGATTGGGGACAGTTTAAGGAACAAAAAATATATATATATATATATATTTAGCCAGCAAACCTGTGAATTTGACGTTCAAACTTATCCATGGTATATGACCAACCAGAAGCAGCATACAAGCAACAATCAGAATAGAATCGTGAAACATGGTAGAATATAGTCGAGAAAGTGGAGTATGTGAGCAGCCTTTTGGTGTCCATGGAAGTTCTGAACAAGATTGGAACCACAGCATTGAAGGACGCATGCTACTAAGATCCGCACTGAGTGAAGCACAATCTGACAATACAGCCAATGGCAAGCAGGACCCTGTTTGCAAAGAACTAACCGGACAGTTGAAACCATATTACCTTCGGGTAATCAAACATTGCAATGGAACACTTGGTTTACAGTAATATTTGGTTCAATGATTTTCCCATATAGATGCCAATTTAGTTCAGGTATTCCAGCCTGCCACGTGTGAGGACTCCGAAGAGTCCACCCTGAGGGTCATCAGGTACTCTCGGACCCAGTAACTCTCACAGACTCATAATGAATTTGTAGACGTAGCCAAGCCAGTTTGTTGATGGTTCATACCCCTTGTTGCGGCTAAGTTTCCGCATGTTGCCACATATTCCTATTCCCAGCATTTTCCTAAATTTGGATTGAACCTCATCTTTACATTCAGAAGTTTTTTTTATAGCAAAAGGCAAAACACAATTGTTTTCTGTGCAAAACAGACCAAGCCTCAGTGACTGGCTCTGTTGTCCACCTCAGGCGAGAAAGGCAAAGGCACAGGCACGGTTTGGCAAACAGTATAATATGATCCTTGCGGGGCCACCATTTTTGTAGCAGATGATCACTATTTTAGTAACTGTTGGTTTTAAACCTTTTTAAATTTTACTGGGGAATTGCTCAGGGGATAATAGGGGTTATAATTGTGACATCCAATACTCTGGATCCATCAAACTGGGAAATTCTATGAGAATTTCAATCATCTCTGGGGAATACTAATTCTGTATGAAAAAAGATGAAAAAAAATAACAACACAAATCATAGATCCATCGCCTTTCGGGCACTTCACATGCACCTTTCATATGACCAGCACCAGGCAGCAAGGTGTCCAAGACGGCCGCCCTTCCGGCCGGCTTGGTGGGCACTGTGCCCACTGCTTCCGCCGCCACCGAAGGCAGCCCGCTGTAGTTCAGAGCAGATTCTGGTATAGACTTTGATGTTGTGATATAAAATGTTTGTTTCACATGGAAATATGGGGGGCTTCTTTCCGGGCTGAGGCGACCGTAGCCTGGTTCTGCCCTTCGTCAGGTGGTAAAAAACCAAAGAAGGAGGTGCCCACAGGCACGCCACGATTTCATCGGTTGCGGTGCAGAAGTGTCACAGTCACAGAACGCGGCATCAGAATGGTGAAAACCGGGTTGTTCTCGTCATTCTTGAAGGCACAGCTGCGAGGTATGCATGTTGACAAAGTAGTGCGCAAATGTGGTAGACAAAGATTGTATGGGTGCATGTTCCGGATTGGGGGAAATCAGTGGGTTCAGTGGCCCCCAACAACCACAGCAGTTTTGATTTTTCACCAGCGATGCCCTTCCATGACTTTCCCGGTGACATGGGTAGTGCTGTTGGGAAGTGTCCTTGATCACGGCCTCCGTCAAAACCATGGGCTTCAGAGCAAGAATGGGTTTCATGTATTCTTGACTTTGAACCAGGGATCATGATCACCAATGGCGACTGCAATATTCTCGGGATAAGGGAAAGCCACAAATAATATGATAAGCGTAACCCAGCAGGAAGCTATAAAACGATGCATCATGAATGCATCATCTATGAAAGTTCCACAAAGTCACAGATCTGAAGACCTAGAATTTGAGGAAAGGTCCCACAGGTTCCTTGATTGACACTTGGGTCACCCCAGGCAACTACCGGTTAGTATGTTTTTTCCTACCAGAGGAGATCCTTGATCTTGCGAATCCTGAAGCCTGCGATAACTTTTACCCGAGCTGTGCCCCACGAGTCTTCACAATAAGCCACAAGAACCCCTATGTACATCCATCTACTGCGCGTCTATCCTGTTCATTCCATATATATATATTATTTATATTTATATTTATTATATTTATATATAAATAGTTATATATATTTATATTTATTTATTTATTTGTTTATTTATTTGTTTATTTATATATATATATATATTTGAATATTTATATATATATATATGTATATATCTATTTATTTATTTATTTACATATACAGATACAATTGTATATAATTATATATATACACATAAACATACTGTTGTAAAGAACTGGATTTCAAACATGGTCAATAGTGGTCATGGACGATTGACCAGCTGGGGTGGACATCCAAGTCGGGCATCATGATCCTTGGTCAGGCTCTCAAATTTGTGTGCGAAACTTGTCCAAGGTGATGCCTTGCTCGGGGGGATGTTGTGCTAAGCGGTAGGGGAACGGAATCTCTGGGGCGTACCTAGCCATACATCTTGGATCCGACGCTCCAATTGCTTGGGAGGTTTTGTCAACTGCTCCCTGCGTATTTTCAATTCTTTGAAACTGGCACTACGTTTCGTGTGTCAACAATGGCACAGGGTACCTGTTCCTGCTCAAGAATCCCTGTTGACCCGAGAGTTACCTGACAATTACCTGACAATCAAGCTTGCCGTTTTGTTGCCCAAGAATTCCCCATCCTGCCATACTTCCAGTCAATGGCATGTAGCATAAAGAAGATGCATAAAAACCACCATAGAAGAGAAAAAACAGCTATAAGTACCCAGGGTTACAAAGTCGGTAGTAGGAGGATAAAAGATAACATCAGATTGGCAAGAAACATTTTCAATGAGCTGGGCCAACTCTCCAGGAATGATAACGTCGACGCGTTGTCACCAGAATGTTGTCGCCATCATCAAACATTCACATGAACATGGCATCAGAATCAGCTTCATGTTCATCAACATTTATGTTATAATTCATAATCAACATCTTCATGCTCCTCATTTACTTCATATTGTGAGAAAATATTGGTATGGGACGGTATGGGAATGTATGGGCGGTATGCGTCAAAACGCTAGTACCCTGGTGAACTCCAAATAGCAATGTTTATCAAATATGGTATTTTACAAGTTTTGATCCAACCCCATATCAGAGACATGTTCATTCTGATCCTATCCCCTCCTCGCCATCCACATCATCCAATGTCAGCAGCGCTGCTGTCGCCAGGACGCAAAGGAGGAAGATCTCCGGAAACAATTCAAAGGCCAGGAAGTACCATGAAACCCGAACGATGGGCTTGTGTGGGATGTAGGTATCAGGCACGTGTGTATAGCAACCCCCAAAAAGAAAGGATAGTAGACATCCTATCAAAATTGTGTGTAAATAAACAAGTTTCAGCACCGCAACCTTTGGTATGAATCATGAAGTATGAACAGGTTGGGGTACCCAACTTTGACCAGTACCCATGTGAAAAACTTAAAGGCATCCCACACAGCGTGGCACATGCTAAGATTGGCTCTTCGGACTGTGATGAAACAGACACCCAAAGGGATGCAGAAGTACCCAGAAAACAACGTCTAACGGTGCGGTGCCGGCGCCCTTCCTGGCATTAGATGACTTGGCCTCCGCGATGGACCATGCACTTATCCTGTTTTTTCTCGTCTAGGATTTGCTGAAGACTATGTTTTATATTCCTGCTGGTTAATACTAATCTGTTCCATTTTGTGCAGACCTTGAAAACGTAAATCCAAGCAATTAATTTTGGGTGGAGCTTTCGCATAGAGCAAATTTTGCTTTGGGCAATGGCTGGGTAGGTCCCAGGTGAGGAAAATTCAGTTGTTTGATGATGTCTACGATTACTTTTGCTATGGTCGAGAGTTGGACTTTATACCCATGCTGGGGATGGTTATTAATCCATGGGTAGAGATCGAGATATGCATCACAAAGATTCCAATTATGGGATGCACAACCGCAAGCTATATACTGTACCATGTTTTGACATGTTTTGACCGTGGTACACAGGGCCACGATTGGCCCTTAGATTAGTAGATCCTCAATCTTGAAGTATCTCGTCCAGGCTTTGGTAAAATCACCGACGTCTCTGTGAAAACATTCGAGTTCCTTGGCTGAGGCCGTTTCCTGAGAATCTCGGAATAGGGCCGCTGGAAACCAAGGAGTTAGAAGCACATTAAGTAACCAACCAACTTTCAATTGTTTGAGCTGGAAATACTAAGAATCTAACCCTAGACCCATGGAAAAGTTCAAACCATTTGAAATTGGAAGGATATGAACCTTTGAGAACAGGAGGTAGCCTTTTTCATGCCAGGTTTTGGGGCTTGTCGGGCGGGGAATCATCACCATGAATGTCCAAACTTTCCAATTGCTTTCATCACAAGATGGTAAGATGCCTTAAATTACGGCCGTATATTGGTAGAAGGATGATGAGCCATGATTAACTATAGAAATTTGGTGTTCCAATTTTTGAGACAACCCCATAAGGTTGAAAAGGTTGCTCAACTTGAGGCCTTCAAAATTGTCGGATGATCCCAGTATGTTAATGGGATGCGGAGTTTCGGCTTTGGAGATATGATGGACGATGCTGTGGTCAATGGAGAGAATTGTCGACCGCTGTGTTGAAATGTCTCCAACTACCAAGCCCCAGAAACGACCAGATGATTCCTTCACTGTGTTTGTATTCGCTCGTTGTATCCACATGTCGTATCTGTAGAAGATTAAGGATGATTGAGGCGCATCATATCCTACCGTGATCACTTGGGCATTAGAATCCACCAAATTCCCATGATTGCGAACCTCATTTTCCCCGTCTGTTGCGATATTCAGACACATCCGTATATTATTCTGGTGAAGTACCCTAGTTTTGGTGCTTGAGGCCCTGTAAGTTGGCTGGTTAAATCCAAACCATTGATGGTTAAATTACCCCGCCTATCATATATATATATATATTATATTGAAAATATATTTCACTGTAGAATATCATATGAACTACTGTACCCTCTGGTAATCAAGTATGGCTTGGTGGAAAATCCGCCATTTGGAGGATGTCCCAGCCAGCCATGTTTGACTATGGCAGGGTATTCGACTCCATGGAAATCTCCCAGGAACGGCCAAGGGAAAGGATATGGCTTCATCACCTTTAAAAAGCTTGAGGAGGCGGGAAAACTGGTGGGATATCAACCACTTGTACTGGTTGGCGCTTAACAAGATTGGGGACAGGGATACATGACAGAATAGTTGCAGTGGTCACCTCACCCACAACTGCTGGATGTATTGTGGTGTAGCGTCGTGTAGTTGTAATTGTGGCGAAGTGTAGTGTAGTTGTAGTGCAGTGTATTGTAGTGTCGTGTAGTTCTAGTGCAGTGTAGCGTAGTGTGTAGTGTCGTGTCGTGTTGTAGTGTGTTGTATAGTGGGTTGTAGTGTGTCGTAGTGTGTCGTAGTGTAGTGTGTCTGTAGCAGAAGAAGTAGCAGTAGCAGTAGTGTAGCAGTAGTGTAGCACTAGTGTAGCAGTAGCGTAGCAGTAGTGTAGTTGAGCTGAGTTGTAGTTGCACTTGCCGTTGTAGTTGTAGTGTCGTGTCGTGTCGTGTATGGTACTGTACTGGTAGTTGCAGTTGTAAAGCTATACGGTATAGGCGTAGGTAAATAGCATAGGTATGGGGTTGGGTATAGCTATAGGTTTAGTGGTGGTGGTGGTGGTGGTAGTGGTAGTAGTGGTAGTACTGGTAGTACTGGTAGTACTGGTAGTGGTGGTAGTAGTGGTAGTAGTGGTCTTAGTGGTTGTAGTGGTCGTAGTGGTCGTAGTGGTAGTAGTGGTGGTAGTGGTGGTAGTTTTAGTAGTAGTAGTAGTACTACTACTACTACTACTACTAGTCGTCGTCGTCGTGGTGGTGGTGGTCGTGGTGGTGGTGGTGGTGGTGGTAAGGGTAGTAGTGGTAGTAGTGGAAGTAGTGGTAGTAGTGGTGGTAGTGGCGGCAGCAGCAGCAGCAGTAGTAGTAGTAGTCGTCGTCGTAGTAGTAGTAGTAGTAGTGGTGGTGGTGGTGGTGGCAAGGGTTGGAGTGGTAGTAGTAGTGGTGGGTAGTGGTAGCTGTGATAGTAGTGGAAGTAGTGGTAGTAGTGGTGGTAGTGGTAGTTGTAGTAGCAGGAGTAGTAGTAGTAGTGGTAGTACTAGTAGTAGTGGTGGTGGTGGTGGTGGTAAGGGTAGTAGTGGTAGTAGTAGTGGTGGTAGTGGTAGTTGTGGTAGTAGTGGTAGTAGTGGTGGTAGTGCTTTTAGTAGTAGTAGTAGTAGCAGCAGTAGTAGTAGTAGTGGTGGTAGTAGTAGTAGTAGGAGTAGTAGGAGTAGTAAAGTAGTAGTAGGAGTAGTAGTAGTAGTAGTAGTACTAGTGTTAGTGATAGTCGAAGTAGAGGTAGTGTAGTGGTAGTTGTAGTAGTAGTGGAAGTGTAGTTGTTAGTCAGTAGTGGTAGTAGTGGTAGTAGTAGTAGTAGCAGCAGTAGTAGAAGTAGTAGTAGTAGTAGTAATTGTAGTAGTAGTGTTAGTAATAGTAGAAGTAGAAGTAGTAGCAGTGGTAGTGGTAGTTGTGGTAATTGTGGTAGTAGTGGAAGTAGTGGTAGTAGTGGTAGTAGTGGGAGTAGTGGTAGTAGTGGTAGTAGTGGTAGTAGTGGTAGTAGTGGTAGTAATGGTAGTAGTGGTAGTAGTGGTGGTAGTGGTAGTAGTGGTAGTAGTGGTAGTAGTGGTAGTAGTAGTAGTAGTAGGAGTAGGAGTAGTAGGAGTAGTATTAGTAGCAGTAGCAGTAGCAGTGGCAGTGGCAGTGGCAGTGGCAGTGGCAGTGGCAGTGGCAGTGGTAGTGGTAGTGGTAGTGGTAGTAGTGCCACTAGTTGTAGTTGTAGTTGTAGTTGTAGTTGTTGTTGTTGTTCTTGTTCTTGTTGTTCTTGTTGTTATTGTTGTTATTGTTGTTATTGTTGTTATTGTTGTTATTGTTGTTATTGTTGTTGTTGTTGTCGCAGTAGTTGTTGTTGTAGTAGTGATAGTTGTAGTTGTAGTTGTAGTTGTTGTTGTTGCAGCAGCAGCAGCAGTAGTAGTAGTAGTACTAATACAATAGTGGTATGTTGTAACTTAGTGTGGTGTGTTGTGGTGTGGTTGAATGTCCCTCTTCCCTTCCTCTTCCTTTCTTCTTCCGTTCCTTTTCCTCTTCATTTCCTTTTCTGTTCCTTTTCCATTCCTCGTCCCTTTTTTTACTACAAAACCGCGGATAGCGATAGGGCCCCCCCAAAAGCGATACCTTTTTCTCGGGAACTTAGCGACGACAATGAATTTTGACAGCAGCTCATGTATTTATATATATATATATACACTATATATATATATACTATATTTATATATATACTATATATATATATGTATAAATACACATTTATAAAACTTCTGATCAAGCGCCCTACACGACGAAAACATACACTCACGTTGCCATTTGCTTGTCCTTTACTGGTACCATGGTGGTCCATGTCCAGTACAATGGTGAGAAACCACCAACAAAAATGGGGATGTATGGTAGATTTGTGATGGGCACGTTGTGTGCGTTTCCATTGAATACGTGTGTTTTTAAACGGCCATACCTATAGGATTTGTTTCGAATCGGTGTTTTCCCCTACCGTGATTTGCAGCCATGCATACCCTCAACCGCATTCCCAAAATTTCCCAAATAGGTGTTCGCCAGTCTTTGCAGTCAACTGTCTTTTTTCTGAGATTATATTATATATAGATTATGTGCTGTTTTTTCCGTTATCTTCCCGTTTGTTACTTTTTTTTGCCGGCTCTCCCCCTTTCGTTATATCATATAATATCACATCACATCTCCGTGTTTGATCTAGCATTATACAAGAATTTGTTCCCCTGTCTTGCTGGTCAATTTCCCACTTCTCCTCGGCTGAACAAAACAAATTCCCCGCATTTCCTCGCAGTAACTGTTGCAGCTGCCAGGCGCAAAAAGCTATTGAGGCAAATGGACTCATGGTGCGATGCAGTGTCCAAAAATTTGGTCACAGATAGTTACAGATGAGATATGTTACGCGTTTGATTAGTCTGAAAATACGTGAAGTGGATACCATATGTCTAAGGTATGAGAAGAAAAAGTAATGGACAATACATGCAGAACACAAAGTGAGGTTGAAACATGTCAAACGGAAAGAGTTCAAATACCCAACCCATATCTCAATTGTTGGCCGTTTAATAGAATTATTGTGTATTGTCGTTGCTGAAGGGTGAAGAGTCAACAAGTGTTGTTGGGTGATCAACAACAGAATATCATACTTAGGAGCAAACCAATCCTGGTTGCAATCTGATCAGGGAAGGCAGGGAATGAATTTGCTGGGAGATTGCAACCAAAAAGGCTGGAGAAGCAATGAGAACGTAAAAGTCGTTTCACCAGAATAGTGAGAGCATCATTCAAATAGGCAACATAAGTTGGTATGTTTTAATATAGACGTAAAGAATCCTTTCAAGCGAGTTAGTAACTGCATAAAGTATGCGGAAACACACACAATTTACAAGTGTTTCAGGAATGAATGGCTTCAAAATCGATCATTGTGGGGTTGCTGAAACATTCATCATATCATATAATATACTTTACTGATCTTTACTGTACTATACCATACTGTATGGAAAAAAATATATATATATATAGACTCATACATGTAATCATGTATACATTTATATATATATGTAATATATACATACACATTGATATACTCAGCCATGTCTGGTAACCTCAGCAGCTAAAGCCCTGGACATCTCTTGTGCTGCCTGGACTTCTTTGGTTTCTTAATTGCAGATTGCGGGCGATGGCAACGAACAAGTGTTTACCCGCATCAAGGGCCTGCAACAGAAAGTCAACCTGTTTTCTCGCGTATAGAAATGAAGTTGCCTGACACGAGCGGCTTAAAAACATACACTTGGTTGATGGTTCTAGGGGATAGGATGCGGCTTATCATACAGTCCAGTGGTAAATTTTTAACAACAGACCACTTCTGCCCAGGGAATGCACGATAAGCCTCAGCCGGAGGGCAAGCCGCTGTTAGTAACGATGGGAACTCGTCAACCCGGAGAAGGGAAAGGAAAAGGAAAAGATGGAGGCTGGGGCCACTACTTAAGCATCTTAAGTTGAAGACGGTGGGGGCTAGGGGACGACATATGATATGGGATTCCCTTGAGCATTTTCCCCTGCAACAAAAAATTGAAACCAGATGAAGCATGTTTGGGATATTGCCCTGTTTTTGACCATGTTGAAGGCAAAATGTTCACCACGCCCCTTTGAAAACGGCTGTAAAATTTCCATGGTTTTTAGCACAGATGTTTTCCATCAAAGTAAGACGCTGGTTATAGGATGATTGGGGACAGTTTGAGGAGCAAGGAAGGTAGTCTTCTAGCCAGCAAACCTGCTAACTTGACGTTCAAATCAATACATGGCATACGACCAACCAAGAAGCAGCATGCAAGCTACAATCAGAATAGAATCACGAAAGATGGTAGAATGTAGTCAAGAAAGCGGAGTATTTGAGCAGCCTGTATGGAGCTACACAGTGGGATGCTTGAAAGTCGAAGTCGTATCAAATCCGTGGTGTCCATGGAAGCTTTGAACAAAATTTGGAGCCACTGCATTGAAGGACCCCAGAAGCTGAAATCCACTGTGAGTGAAGCACAATCTGGCAACAGATTCCATTGCAAGCAGGACCCTGCTTGCCTTAAGAACTCACCTATGTGCAGGAAGCTTGAACTTGAAAAACAATGAAAACATACCACCCCCGGTATCAAACATGAAAATTGAAAATATTCCGTTCACTTTATATATATATATATGTATATATATGTTTACATGTGTATGTATATATATATATGTATAATTATATTTATTGTATCTATACTTACTCCATACTTCAGTGAGTCTCTCATCATTGGATGTCCATTTGGTTAGGAGCTACGGAATTTAGCTAGCCATGGTTCAGCACGCCAAAGGGTCTGGTCTCCAGGATATTGCGACAAATTTGAGTCCCATCCCTCCCCCGTGGGGCTCGTCTGACAGACTCAGAATGAACTTGCGGACGTAGCCAAACCAGTCTGTTGATGGCTCATACATGTTCATACCCCCTTTGTTGTGGCTAAGTTTCTGCATGTTTCTACATATCCCTATTCCCAGCAAAATTTCCCCCATTCTGGATTGAATCCCAAGCTTTCACATGCAGAATTGGATGATGGAAAAAATTGTTTCGGTTTCATCCTTTCCTTCTCAGGGCAAAAACACCATGGTTTCCTGGGTAAAACATACCAGGCCTCAGTGACTGGCTCTGCTGTCCACCTCAGGCGAGAAAGGCAAAGGCAAAGGCGCGGTTGATTCCCGATCAATTAATGAACTCCCGGGCTGTTAAGTGCCAGTTTCTAGCAAAGTGATGATTCTGTTCATGGTATGTGGGAGGAAATTGGGCATGCCCCAAAAGTATGCAATCATGCATACCTGCCCTTGTTGTATCCAAGACTAGTCTTGTTTTGATTCCTTCGTTCAAGGCGGCAAAGGCAAAGGCGAAGCACAGGGACAGCAACTTGGTAGCACTGGTTTCATGTCAGAGAGTGAACCAGTTTTATTCAGCCAGAATTAGATCAGATTAGTTCGAGACGATGAAATGCTGTCATGTATTCCCCCTTGTTTGTTAAACGTGCCCGAAGTGGGACGAAAGATAATGGGAAAAAGGACAACACCGCGGAAAAGGCTGCCTCTCCCCTGTGCTCAGTGCACGCAAACACTGTTTGTGATTAGCTTTTTTGAAAGCTCAACGCCATCATAGAACCTTCAAGAATATTCGACAGCTTGCAGTCTCGTCTAATTTGGACCATTACTGAGACAGACTGCCATTTCCTGTCCCACCAGAATGACACCCGCAACAGCCAGGTGTCCTTACGGCAACTATCCCTACTCGCAGGAACAGGTTCAAGTGTAGTTGACCTTGTTAGGGCCTCTCTGGGTCCATAATTTCCACCCATTCTGAACTAGTTCAGATTCAGCGACTTGAAATATGTTGATGTTCCGTGTCTCCTTGGGATCATAGTGCCAATTAGTAGACACATGTTGATCATTGATAGGTTGGCCACCGGTCTTTTGACAACCATGGGTGTGGCTACAACGCCTCGGCGATGCATCTCCGGTACTATCAATAGATATCATAGGCTCTCCAGTCAAGGTAAAGGACAAGTGTTTATCCGCATAAAGGGCCTGCAAAAGAACGTCAACCTGGTTTCTCATTCATATGAATGAAATGGCCTTTAATGAGCAATTTTAAAAAGATTTAAATATATTATCAGTTGGCTGATGATTATAGTCATAGTTTTAGGATATTCTACCCTGCCCTTTAAATTTATATTTGCGGATTATCATCTTGGCCATTGGTAAATACCAAAGAGAGAATTTCTCCCCAGGGCATGCCCTTTGTTAGTGCCTCAGCCGGAGGGCAAGCAGCTGTCGCTGACCATGGCCACCCGTCAACCCGGAGAAGGAACCGGGAAAGGAAAAGATGGAGGCTGGCTGCTTAAGCTGGGGATGGTGGACTGGGGAACAACATATGATATGGGTTGATATGGGGGGTTCTATGAATGGGGTACCCCAAAAGCTTGATGGTTTATAGATGTTATAAGTCAAAATCCAATGCATGATTGGGAGGTGCCCCCATTTTAGTGCTCAAGGGCATGACAAAAACATTTTTGGGGACACTGCGCTGATTTTGAGCATGTTTCTTGGATGATTTCCTTCAAAGTAAGACGCCGGCTATAGGACATTGGGGCTAGTTTGGAGGGCAAAGAAGATAGTCTTATAGCCAGCAAGCCTGTTCGAAGGAAGTTTAGTAGAAGTCAAACTTCCGACAGTATGGACAGATGGAAAAGCAGAGGCGGGAAGAGTCAGAGAGGAGACAGGAAGAAGAGAGAAGATCAGAGAAGAGAAAGAGTCAGAAGAAAGAAGATGTAGTTGTGCAAAAAGGTAGAAAAGTCAGGAAACACTGTGTTTTGCCAATGGTTTGTGGCTCCGGAGGGTCGAAAAGTAGGCTCGCTAAAGCGGTGGAACCATGTGGTCAGATGAGAGATGAAAAGTTGCACGCCGTTGTGGCGCGAAGCACATTTCCAAGTCAGAATGCGCAAACCACACTTCAGCTTCGGAGCACTTTTAGAAGTTGCGATGTCGAAAAAGTGCACGCCGTTGTGCCGCGAAGCACATTTGCAAGCCAAAATGTACAAAACACACCAGCTTCAGAGCACTTGTGGAAGTTGAGATGTTCAAAAAGTGCACGCCGCTGTGGCGCGAAGCACATGTCCAAGTCAAAGGTGTTAAAAACTGACCGGTTTGGAGCATTTTTGGAAGTTGCGATGTTGAAAAAGTGCACGCTGTTGTGGCGCGAAGCACATTTCGAAGTCAAAATGCACAAAGCACACCACGGACGTTCGGGCCACTTTTGGACGTTGAAGCGCCATTTTGTGTGGCAAGTGCCAAGGATTCTGCACCCTGCTAAAAGTGTGCAAAACGTGAGTGTTTTGTAGTAGTTTCAGAAACGTTGGCCGGCGCAGGGCTTGTGAAGAGGATCTGCAAAGATGCATTTCGCTTGGCAGGCGGAGTACAAGAGACACATGAGTCAGAGATGTTAGAAGGTCCGGGCGCTGATTTCCTGAGAGGTGTTGCGTTTTGGAGCATCAGATCTTAAGGTTTGCTAAAATGATTTTGCCTGACAGGTGCAGCACTTCGTATGACCTGGCCTCACTTTTTCGTGGCAGGTGCAATACTTTAGACAGATGGAATGGAACAATTGCAAAACGCAATGGTACGAGGCCGTCAGCTCTGCACTCAACTTGCCATTTTTGAAGGAAGTCTCGCAGAATTGCTTCGTTTTTGATGCTGTCAAGTGGGAAAATTGAGGAAGTCTCGCAGAATTGCTTCGTTTTTGACGTTGTCAAGTTCAAAAATTGAGAAAGTCTCACAGAATTGCTGCGTTTTTGATGTTGTCAAGCTCAAAACTTGAGGATAACTCGCAGAATAGCTTCGTTTTCAAGCTTGCAGATAGATAGATAGACAGAAAGCTGTCTAGATAGACAGACGGACAGACAGACAGACAGATAGAGAGATAAACAGATAGATAGATAGGTAGATAGATAGATAGATAGACAGACAGACAGATAGATAGATAGATAGAGAAATAAACAGATATATAGATAGACAGGTAGATAGACAACTGCAACTACACTACAGCTACAACTACAACTACAAGCACGCTTCAACTACTACAACTTCAGCAACTACAACTACGACCTCAACTACAAGTACATTTACCATTACACAACACTTCAACTACAACTACACCTAGAACACCTACAACGACTACAAGAACTATATGCTAGAACTACTACAACTACACTACAACTACACTACAACTACACTACAACTACCCTACAACTACCCTACAACTACCCTACAACTGCAACCACAGCTACAACTACAACTTCTACTATACTACAGCAGCACTACAACCTGCACTACAACTACAACTACAAGTGCGCTACCACTACCACTACCACTACCACTACACTACCACTACACTACCACTACATTACCACTACGCTACAACTACAGCTACAACTACAACTACGACTCCTACAGCTACTACAACAACATCTTCCTTGATTGAAGCCCTATGGAATGGAAGAACCCATGTCTCGTATGAAATGGAAAAACCAGGACCATTTCATCAACGGCCCATTTTGGAAAGCATAGCAAAAAAAACCTTTAAATTTTGGTGCCATGTTGGACCATCCATTTCATAAAAGGGGTGATAAATCCATTATATAAAGCTGCATTTTTCTTTGGACCATTAGCCCCAAAATCGGCGTTGCCTTAATATAAATGCTACTGTTTTTCATTTTTTGTTGTGGTCTGGAATATATGGTTACCATAATACAAAAGTAATAAGGTGGGATGGAGAATCGTTATAATTCAATCAGTGCTGATGTGCTTATAATTAAATGTAGCCTTCCATTTCATAAAAAACTGATGATCCACCTGCCTTTGTGATCCATTGGGGTTTCGGTTCTGGATCTTGGGCCCCAAATGGGCTTTATGAAATGGAACGTCTTGAAATATAACGTAAACCCAATTTGAATTTCATTGGGAACACCCGATAGCAGTTACATTTTCTAGAAGGGAAACTTCACAAGCACCTATGCTGGTTTCATTACATAAACCAGATTTTTATGAAATGGTCGGGTAAGGGTACCTACACATTAACCAAGGGAGATACAACTACTACAATTACTACAATTACTGCAATTACTGCAAGTACTGCAATTACTGCAATTACTACAACGACAACTTCAACTACACTTCAACTACACTACAACTACAACTACAACCACAACCACAACATTAGAACTTCAACAGCATCAACTACACTACAACTACAACTACCTCTACCACTACAACTACAACTACAACTACATTGCATTCGCTACACCACACTACACCCTGCAGTTGTGGGTGAGGTGACCACTGCAACCATTCCAAAAACCCCACCACCTTTCGGTCCACCAGTGGCTTTGCTCTGCCATCCGTGCATCACAACATCTCACCTCCCCTATAGTTTCCTATCTTACAAACTTCCGCCACTGCCTTGCGCGGTACTACTGGTAACTTGACGTTCAAATAAACACATGGTATATGACCAACCAAGAAGCAGCATACAAGCAACAATCAGAATAGAACCGTGAAAGATGGTAGAATATAGCCAAGAAAGCGGAGTATGTGAGCAGCCTGTTAGAGCTACAAAGTGGGATGCTTGAAAGTCGAAGTCGCACCGGGTATCAAGTCCGTGGTGTACATGGAAGCTCTGAACAAATTTTGGAGACACTGCGTTTAAGAACCCCAGAAGCTGAAATCCACAGTGAGTGAAGCACAATCTGGCAACAGATTCCATGGCAAGCAGGACCCTGCTTTCCTTAAGAACTCACCTGTGCGCAGGAAGCTTGAACTTGAAAAACAATGAAAACATATTACCCCCTGGTCATCAAACACGGAAACGGAAAATATTCCACTCACTTTCTTTTATATATATATATATATGTATGTATGTATGTATGTATGTATGTACATTTATACTTGTAATATCTATACTCTATACTTCAGTGAGTTTCCCATCAATGGATGTCCATTTAGTTAGGAGCTAGGGAATTTAGCCAGCCATGTTTCAGGACACCGAAGGGTCTCCAGGATATGCGACAAAATTGAATCCCATCCCCCCCCCCGTGGGGCTCGTCTGACAGACTCAGAACGTAGCCAAACCAGTCTGTTGATGGCTCATACATGTTCATACCCCCTTTGTTGTGGCTAAGTTTCTGCATGTTTCTACATATCCCTATTCCCAGCAAAATTTCCCCCATTCTGGATTGAATCCCAATCTTTCACATGCAGGCTTGGATGATGGGAAAAATTGTTTTGGTTTCATCCTTTCCTTCCCAGGGCAAAAACACCATGGTTTTCTGGGTAGAACATACCAGGCCTCAGTGATTGGTTTTGCTGTCCACAGGCGAGAAAGGCGGCAGAGGTGCGGTTGGCGGTGAAAATGTCAACCCCGGATTGAACCCCTGGGCCCCGCTGTTGATCCTTAGAGGTGTAGCGTTTTGGCAGCAGACTGTCCAACTTTTTGACAAACAAAATGGATGGCTAGGGACCTAACCATGAAAACTTGTGTCTCACCAAGAAAAAATTGGAGATTTACATGGATTTGCACAAAAACAATAGGCTAATGTCTTGGAAATCAGACTGGATGATTACTGCAATCACTGAATAGAGTGAGTACGTTGCCCTTTTGCCATTTGATATGGATACATAAGCAGTTCCAATATGATTTGCAAATACACACAACACCACACGTATAAAGCACGGTGCCTGCCACAAGAAATAGACATCTCTGAAGTGCTGCGCTTGCCACAAAAAATGACAGTAATCTTACGAAAATCATTCAAGAGTATTTCGCCGGTCACACAAAAGGATTTTCGACACATGTCATCAACACGTGGGAATGTTGCCAAGTGCCACACCCGCCGCACAAAAAAACACATCAATGTCACTGAACAGTTATCTTGCGAAAATCGTTCAAAAGTATTGCGCCTGTCACACAAAGCGATTTTCGACACGCTATCTCACACGTCGGAATGTCACCAAGCGCAACGCCTGTGACAAAACTATACATGTCACGTCTTGCAAAACCTTCAAAAATCACAACTTTCGCAGGTTCGCGACAGGCACGACCATATCTTCCCCATTGCGGACAGTCGCAGACGGTTGCCAACGGCAAGCAACGTCGAGCGAACACACCTCCACCCCAAGTCCCCCAAAGATAAACGAGAACCCTTCGCTCTGCATTCGGGAATTATATATATATACACATAAACTTGGATCACCCCAATTAAGTAAATGCCAAAAATATGATTGAAAATGCAAAAGATTTACCCATTGTTGATGGTCAAAGTCTCATCCGTAGCCCAGAAGTCGCAACATATTCGCCCCCAGCAGTACCTGCCCTCAAGAT